ACAAATATATTAAGTATGGAATTTGCAGAAAATTTTTTTAGTTACATCTGATATTTCTTACATTATAACTATACATATGTATAAAAAACTAATATGTCTTTTAATATTTGCTAAATTATTTTTAATTATTAGGTATTACTAACGTTATATCATAAACCATTTATACTTATTATTCAGAAATAATAGACACTCTTATTACAAATAAAGCCATTTAATCCATGATAAAATCGCCATTTTTATGTAGCGTTTTTGTGTTTTCTATCATACAGTTTTTTATATATTTTTACACTCGTCAGATCGTGTCACTTTTTTCTTCTACAGTGTCTATCACTAATGGAAGTGCTTCTGTCTCTACTATAATCTACAATTACTATATTCGTATCACTGTCTCTATCACTAACAGTTTTCCTGTCACTATCAGAATCCATAACTATTATGTTAGTGTCATTGTCACCATCTTTATCACTCATCGAAGCTTTTCTCTTACTATCGCAATCTACATCATTATAAACACCATCTCTTTCTTTATTTACACTAGCTATATTGTCACTATCACTGTCAATTTGGAAATCACGATTACTATCACTTTTTACTCTTTCAATTTTATTTTTCTGTATTTCACCAGTAAAGTTTTCGGAATCACTACCATTTATTGTAGTTTGCCTTTTTTTAATAAGAGAGATATGGGTGGATATTCGTCTGGTTTCACTTTTGCCAAATTTTCTGGTGCATATTTTATCCCAAAATCAGTAATAAAAACTCTTCTTTTTTTTATTGGTAGTAAAAAAGGTAACTTTTTATCATAACTCATTTTACCAATTTTCGATTTTAAATATAACACTATTTTAGAAATACTTTGAGTTGTAAAATAATAAATGTACATTCGCACTGTAGGAAAGTCAGGAGACAACTAGTGGTCCTTCGAAAGATTTTCTTGGTCTAAAAAAAAATGATAACTATGCTTCGTCCTACAACGCTTTTAACTCTACAACCAAAGCTTTGATGTGATAATAGAGTGTATATGCCTATATAATATTATGTATATCAGTTCAATGCGTCATTCACACGTAGATGTTGACCGTTTGCCCATACCAGAAATGTTTTTATAAGGTTATAAATATTGGTACGCACTAGTCCTGAGGGTCTCAATAGCTCAATAAGACCGCTCATATTCTTTACACTTTTTCTTCTTCTGACGCTTTTACTGTTTTGTGCTTACGGTAATGCTGCTGCAGCAGTACTCTTGTTGTAAAAATATATTTCTTGTTTAATCGATGGAACACTCGAAAATACAAGAGTAAAGATTGTGTAAAATAATTTATATTATTTTTTTTTATTTCTAATTTCTACAAATTGCTATAAATCAGTTAAATGTCGAGGATAGTTTATTTGTGAAGTGTTACTCTTTTTCTAATATACTTTTTTTTTATAGCTATACCATTCTTTACAGCACAACAGGCTGATTTAAATGCATGATTTGTACATGTCACAAGAGGCACATTCAATTGTTTCAATGACAAACATTCTTTAAAGTTGTGGATGAACCTAGAATAGAAAAATAATCCTTTTCTTTTTATTTATCATTTTTCATTGATTATGAATTGGATTTTATTAGTCTTATATCTATTGAGGAGTATTTGACGAAGCCATTTCGTTTCTTCAAGTCTTTTAACAGAAATTACGTCATCCTCTTTAATAATAGACTGAAAAGTGACGATTGAACCTTCATAGGGCACTTCTTCAGAGTCCCAACGGAGACCGTGGTAATTACATTTCAACCAACGATTTTCACGTTTATTTTTAGACCTTAGCTGATCCAAGAGGTGGGGGGGCTTGAAAAGAAATACTTTTGGTGTAGAATCATCTTCCTCTAAAGGTATCAAATGTACAAATCAACTTCTCATAAATATTTTATGAATCGTCAATTTTCAAGTATGTGCTATTGAGGTGCTTTTTTCAATTTTTTGTAGACTTTTTGTTAGAAAGGATCGGTTTTATATCTGATAACGTGACTTATTTACATATTACCATTTACATACTTCCATTACAAGGGTGTAACTGATGAGGCTGAACAAAAACTGTAAGTGTTTTTTTTAATCTCGAAACTGGACTGCACAGCACGTAGTCCAATTGCTTTTTTGGTGTTGAACCAACACCTTCTTCAATCAGTATACACATAGAATGGTGAAATTCTTATAATTAACAATATGCTTTTAACTGGTATATGTACTGTTATTTCTATACTTGTGGTGTAAAGACAAATGTACTGACAAATGACTAAACACAGTTATATCCCATGTTATAGTCAGTGATATAGATTCTACTGTTTGATGTGTAGTCTGTTCTTCTTAGAAACTAAGGTTAAGTCGACAATATAAATTCACTGGAAATCATTTATCGTTCCCGTATAATACTCCAAAATTTAATGAAAAACGCCTCTTATAAGATTAAACATACAACAAAAACATATCACTTACGTGATCGTGTGCTGAACCCAGCACAGAAAGAAGGTGCATGTTTTTTTCTTCGATTAATTGTGGGCAACATTTAAATGTCCCATCAAGACTTATGCATTTAACAGATGTGTATTCCTGAATTAAATTAGAATCATAAAAAGTTTTATGCTTTTTACCATCTTCATCAGCAATAAAAATGCACTCAATTTTTGCCTATTTCCCTCTGACGCTTTTGCATAGTTTGGATCAGTTAATTGCTGGTAAAACATCATTGGGTCATTGGGATTAACCGGAAAAGCAGAATTTCTTCAAGTTGGTATACTGAGAGGGTTCTGGTTCACCTTCCCCCTAGGGTGGCAGGGGGAGAGCTGTAGTGCGAGGGTATGGGGCGCCCCCCTCTAAGTGGGTGGCTCTGAGCTGTCACCGCTCCGAGTAGAGGAGGGCGGACGGACACTTGTGAGAAGGCCCCTGTATGACGTATGTGTATGTGTAATGGTGTGTTGGGTCAGCCATTCTATTGCACGAGCTTATCAATGCCTCCCCTTTGACCACTACACGCATGCATGAAAATGTACATCAAGCTCATATCGTTATATTATGGCTGCACACGCGCTCCTTGGGGTGGCTTATCGTGCTTAGATGTCAGCGTCTTACATGAAGCAGCTAGGTACAGCTACTTAAAGAGGATGGGAATAAAAAAATTAGCATTAATAAATACATTTTGTGTCAAGTCATGTACAAATATATTAAGTATGGAATTTGCAGAAAATTTTTTTAGTTACATCTGATATTTCTTACATTATAACTATACATATGTATAAAAAACTAATATGTCTTTTAATATTTGCTAAATTATTTTTAATTATTAGGTATTACTAACGTTATATCATAAACCATTTATACTTATTATTTAAAAATAATAGACACTCTTATTACAAATAAAGCCATTCAATCCATGATAAAATCGCCATTTTTATGTAGCGTTTTTGTGTTTTCTATCATACAGTTTTTTATATATTTTTACACTCGTCAGATCGTGTCACTTTTTTCTTCTACAGTGTCTATCACTAATGGAAGTGCTTCTGTCTCTACTATAATCTACAATTACTATATTCGTATCACTGTCTCTATCACTAACAGTTTTCCTGTCACTATCAGAATCCATAACTATTATGTTAGTGTCATTGTCACCATCTTTATCACTCATCGAAGCTTTTCTCTTACTATCGCAATCTACATCATTATAAACACCATTTCTTTCTTTATTTACACTAGCTATATTGTCACTATCACTGTCAATTTGGAAATCACGATCACTATCACTTTTTACTCTTTCAATTTTATTTTTCTGTATTTCACCAGTAAAGTTTTCGGAATCACTACCATTTATTGTAGTTTGCCTTTTTTTAATAAGAGAGATATGGGTGGATATTCGTCTGGTTTCACTTTTGCCAACTTTTCTGATGCATATTTTATCCCAAAATCAGTAATAAAAACTCTTCTTTTTTTTATTGGTAGTAAAAAAGGTAACTTTTTATCATAACTCATTTTACCAATTTTCGATTTTAAATATAACACTATTTTAGAAATACTTTGAGTTGTAAAATAATAAATGTACATTCGCACTGTAGGAAAGTCAGGAGACAACTAGTGGTCCTTCGAAAGATTTTCTTGGTCTAAAAAAAAATGATAACTATGCTTCGTCCTACAACGCTTTTAACTCTACAACCAAAGCTTTGATGTGATAATAGAGTGTATATGCCTATATAATATTATGTATATCAGTTCAATGCGTCATTCACAAGTAGATGTTGACCGTTTGCCCATACCAGAAATGTTTTTATAAGGTTATAAATATTGGTACGCACTAGTCCTGAGGGTCTCAATAGCTCAATAAGACCGCTCATATTCTTTACACTTTTTCTTCTTCTGACGCTTTTACTGTTTTGTGCTTACGGTAATGCTGCTGCAGCAGTACTCTTGTTGTAAAAATATATTTCTTGTTTAATCGATGGAACACTCGAAAATACAAGAGTAAAGATTGTGTAAAATAATTTATATTATTTTTTTTTATTTCTAATTTCTACAAATTGCTATAAATCAGTTAAATGTCGAGGATAGTTTATTTGTGAAGTGTTACTCTTTTTCTAATATACTTTTTTTTTATAGCTATACCATTCTTTACAGCACAACAGGCTGATTTAAATGCATGATTTGTACATGTCACAAGAGGCACATTCAATTGTTTCAATGACAAACATTCTTTAAAGTTGTGGATGAACCTAGAATAGAAAAATAATCCTTTTCTTTTTATTTATCATTTTTCATTGATTATGGATTGGATTTTATTAGTCTTATATCTATTGAGGAGTATTTGACAAAGCCATTTCGTTTCTTCAAGTCTTTTAACAGAAATTACGTCATCCTCTTTAATAATAGACTGAAAAGTGACGATTGAACCTTCATAGGGCACTTCTTCAGAGTCCCAACGGAGACCGTGGTAATTACATTTCAACCAACGATTTTCACGTTTATTTTTAGACCTTAGCTGATCCAAGAGGTGGGGGGGCTTGAAAAGAAATACTTTTGGTGTAGAATCATCTTCCTCTAAAGGTATCATTGCAACCTCCTTAAAAATGAATTCGTTAAATATAGTCTTGAAGTTTCGAATATCAATCGCGTATGTAGACATCTTTAAGCAAGTACAATGAACAGTCAACTGACATCCATACTTACATACATTTTTTTTTTATACACTGTACGTGTACTACAGTTTTTTTTTTGTTATAGGCCAATTATTCTACGAAGGCTCAATGTTAAATTTGACGTTAGTGTTAGCAGAAAACAAAAAATACGTTGATATAAAAGAGAATGATTTAAAAAACATATCGTTTTTTTTCGGTTATTCAGTGGCTGAGTTAACCTAAAAAATTCGTGAAAGTCCGAAAATCACTTTTTTCGCGTTTGAAAAAAAAGTTGACCTCCAATGCCGAAAAATTACATAAGAAAGTTGTAGATCTTAAAAAAAACCTATCGATTGACGCGCGTTGGATATAATTTGAATGCGTAGTTGCTGAGGAAACTTGAAAAAACCATCAAAAATCGTCTTTTTTTAGTTTGTGAATAACTTTATTTCTTTTGAGATTTTTAAGTTGATATTTGGTCAAATTATGAGTTTTTGGTTCACAAACCTTCAGTTTTTTTGTTAGTGAAAAATACTAAAAATTTTTTGAAATATCGCATTTTTTCGAAAAAAAACTCCTTTCGTAAAAACTTTAATAGACATCAGGAAATTATGCTAGAGCGACTTCTTAAGGATTAATCTCTTTGTCTAGACTTATTTTATCACGCAATATTTGTAGTAAGTAAAATTTTTTAACTTTTGATGCCGAAATCAGACTCCGAAAAAAGTGCTTTTTTTTCTATCGGTTTTTTGCAATTTTTTTACGTATTTTGATAATTGCACGAATATAACTAACTGGAATGCATTGTACTTATTTTTTTACGAATTTAAAAAAAAATTTTTATGACATGACCATGTGGAGCCAAGTTAGGTTTTTTTTTTTTTAAATCCCTATGCGACGGTAAAACGTGTAGAACTCTGAAACTTGCACACTTTACTAACAAATACACATTTTGCATTAAAAAAATTATTCGCAACATTAACTTTAGCGGAACGATGGGTATGATAACGTTACAGTTGAGTCTTTTTGCGCGTCGCGCATCGACTGCCTGCTGGTATGAGGTGTGTCTGGCTGGTTGCTCTTACTCGGGCGCTCCGATACATCTCCGAAATGGAGTTGGAGAGGTGAGAGAAAGATGTTCTCCCCTCATGCATCTGCTCCAGACTGAGTGTCTCTGGAGTACATTAGTACAGAAATGAGCGTGCTTAACGAGACAAAAAATTGTAGTTGTTTCAAGCGCGGTCTGAAGTGTTCCAATGTATGTGCTCACTGCCAGGACTCGCAGTGCACAAAATTTAAAGAAGTTGATCATGCTATCTCACATGAGCAGTCCTTCGTGGAAAATATGGATATTGGTGATGTTAGTATTGGACAATTTCCGATTAATGAAGACATGTTTTGCGATTTGCAAATACCGGCTTCTAATGATCCAGTACTAAAATGTACCATGGATCATAAAGAAAACGAGGATGTGCTTGATGACATTAATGAGCAACCCTATAAGAAGGTGCGAACGGATAATATGAACTAGTTTTACTTTTTTTAAAAGAATTTGTATTATTGAATAAAAAAAATGAATTAAAATATATTGCTTTTTTTCGCTAACCCATTACGTATTTCTAATGAACCTGTGATAACACCCACAAATAAAGTCAGGTAACCATAATAGAGGTAATATTTACCTTATAAGTACAATGCATTGCAGTTAGTTATATACGTGCAATTATCAAAATACGAAAAAAAAATGCAAAAAACTGATAGAAAAAAAAGTAATTTTTTCGGAGTCCAATTTCGGCATCAAAAATTAAAAAATTTTACTTACTACAAACAATGCATTGCAGTTAGTTATATACGTGCAATTATCAAAATACGAAAAAAAAATGCAAAAAACTGATAGAAAAAAAAAGTACTTTTTTCGGAGTCCAATTTCGGCATCAAAAATTAAAAAATTTTACTTACTACAAACATTACATGATAGAATAAGTCTAGACGAAGAGAGTAAGCCCTGAAAAATCGCTCCAGCATTATTTCCTGACGTCTATTGAAGTTTTTACGAAAGATGTTTTTTTNAAAAATTGGAAATTCAAGGACATGGTCTTGCTTATACATCAATCCATGATGATGATACTACTGTGGTGTGGAAAGAACTTGATAGTGCGTTTTAAAATTATATAAGAACTGTCATTATTGTAAATAGCAAGCACTTGGATGTTGTAAAATTTCTGAAGTCTGCGGAAAAATAGTTTGTTTCAAAAGTGACAGAAATTCTTAATCAGCAGCATGCTTTAAAAGTTAACGCAGTTTTAGCAGCGAAGTTTGTCTTAGTGAAAAATTCCAAGAACGAGACGCCGCGCCAGGTGGACTTTGCACTCTATTTTAAATTTAGTATTAAATATAAATAAATATCAGGCTATGAATGGTAGTTCTTACATAGAACTACTTATTTTCATTATTAAAAAAAAAGCTTGTGTTAATGTTAAAAATTTAGATCACCAATGTTTCAAATTGGCCGTTTTGTCAGCACTACATCCTTCAAGTAAAAATGCGAGTCGAGTCTCGAATTATACAAAATATAAAAATGATTACGATTACACTGGGATCACATTTCTAGTGCAACCTAAGCAAGTACCGAAGTTTAAAAAAAAAAGGTGTTTCAGTTAATATACATTTTTTAGAAAAGAGAAATAATAACTTTATTGTGTAAAATAATTTATATTATTTTTTTTTATTTCTAATTTCTACAAATTGCTATAAATCAGTTAAATGTTGAGGATAGTTTATTTGTGAAGTGTTACTCTTTTTCTAATATACTTTTTTTTTTATAGCTATACCATTCTTTACAGCACAACAGGCTGATTTAAATGCATGATTTGTACATGTCACAAGAGGCACATTCAATTGTTTCAA